GTAATAAGCATTGTTAGATCCAATTCCTTTGAATTTTCCATGTCTCTGATAGGGGGGCTTGTTGGGGCAGTAGATATTGTTCAAAACTGAGCGATGAGGTCGGTAGCAAAATACATAAAGCCGATGGCAAACGGAAGTAAACGTTTACTACCGGATGTAGCCTTACGTTGTAAGACCATCACTACCGAGTAAACGGAAGTAAACGTTTAATACCGGACGTAGTCTTACATTGTAAATCCAGCACTTACGAGTAAACGGAAGTAAACGTTTACTACCAGATGTAGCCTTACGTTGTAAGTCCATCACTACCGAGTAAACGGAAGTAAAGCTTTAATACCGGACGTAGCCTTACGTTGTAAGTCCTTCACTGCCGAGTAAACGGAAGTAAACGTTTAATACCGGACGTAACCTTACCTTGTAAGTCCATCACTGCCGAGTAAACGGAAGTAAACGTTTAATACCGGACGTAGCCAAAGGATAATTAGTATAGTAAAAAACTTCCTTAGGTTGTCTTGAACCTACTCAAAAGAAAAGTGTTGCTTCTTCGCTCATGTCCCCCAGTGGCACAGCGGTATGTCTGCGGACTTACATCGCTATAAACCGGGTTTTGATACCCGTGGTGGAAAGAGCACAAATAGCCCATTTCTGGCTCGGCATGTGGTTAGGTCGCTCGGCTCACAATCTGCGGGTCGCGGGTTCAAATCCACGTCCCACCAAACATTCCCGCCCTTTCAGCCGTGGGGCGTTATAATGTGACAGTTAATTCCAGTATTCGTTGGTAAAAGAATAGCCGAAGAGCTGGCGGTGGGTGGTGATGACTAGCTGCCTTCTTTCTGATTTTTCACTGCTAAATTAGGGACGGCTAGCGCAGATAGCCCTCGTGTAGCTTTCCGCGAACTTCCAAACAAACAAAATCTTCGCTCAGTTCCTGCGGCTGCCCAGTGACAGGTTAGGTTAAGAAAACGTAACAGAGAGAGAGGGAACAGTGAATTGTGTGTCAGGTGAGTGAAAGAAACCTTACATGTAAAACTAACTGTGAGGCACAGAGAAACTGGAATAATTTATTACTTTTACAATTCGTAATCGGCACAAAAAGATATTCAAAACAGGAACGATCCCAGTTTTTACTGGCAACCCTATTTCTACTTAGTAGTTATAAGTTCTGTAGACTGTTGAGCAAAGGTTACTGGCGGATTTAGGTGCGTGTGGGTTTTGCAAGCAAATTAGGCTTAACGTAGATGAAAGAATAACCTCACTCGAAGTAATGTATGGTTTATCAGATATTACCCCAGAGTAGATAAACTTACTAAAACCGTAACAAAATACCCCTTTTTTGTTGTTGTCGCTCAGTAACTGTTGTTTCCCACTCAGTAATGAAGACACCAGGAGTCGCAGTGAAGAATCTGTAAAGTTACGTGTGTTTAGAATCAATCATTTGTTTATAATTTCAACGAACATATTTAGTAGTTTTGTATTTTTATTAAAAAAACATTATTTAACGTCTCTCCTTTCACCTTCACATAACTCGTACAAATTAATGTATTAATATTAATTAATTAGCTAAAACAATCCGGTTTTTTATGCGTTATTTGATGCACATTTTAATATCATGAAATTAATGCATGTTCTGGATATGATTAAAATCACGTATAGATAAACATGTGAGTACCCTGTCTTTCGTTTTAACTTGCTTTTGTTCTGTATATAGGCGTTGTAAGAATGAAATATTAAATTGTATTTCCAATTTAAAAGTCCATATGTATAAAATCCGCGACATTAACTTCTGACAGGATTGTAGTAACCAGCAACGTTGTACGACAATTGTATTGCTGTATATATATATATATTTTTTTTTTCTCCATAGATGCCAGTAATATTTGCCCAGTGAAGTCATTTTGAATATACTGCACACAACATTATAGTGAAGGGCAGTTGTTGAATTAGGCCTAGCGGGGTCACGGCTGTTTCCGCTGCAACTTCGTGACAAAATGGTTTTAGTTGCGAACGCTGATCGCTGTGCTCCACGCCATCAGACTTCACAGGAGATCGCTTATCTTGGTAATCACGGCGCACGGATTAACTCCTCGTGTTTTTATTCTTAGGTGCTGTGCTAGAGTGTTGACCTTGAGCCATAGACAAAAAGTACCACAGTTTTACACCCTTCTTACTTGGTAGTATTTATCTGCACAATGCACATCTGTTGAAACTTCGGACTCATGACGCATGCCTATAAGTGTACAACAAGTTGCTTAATATTTTAATTAACGAGGTGTGAATTAATCTGGTTAGTATTTTTCAAAGCGCAACTGTTGAAAAAGTATATTTAGATTATTACAGATTTCAACTAAAAGTCTTGTTTAAATGGAATACCAGTAACGTGTGTAGAAAGTTTAGTGATAAATCTGGATGCTTTTCTAAACTGATTTTCCAAACGATGTGATACGTAAAGAGTGAGATTTGAATATTATTATTTTTTAAAAGCTTATTTACTGTATAAATCTGTTTGAATAGTTTAAAATTATGTTCTTTTGAAAAATATGGTTTTACTCTTTGTGAAATACGTATTGTTCGCTTCTTCTTGACTCTGTACATCTTACTTCTAACCTGTGTACATCATACTTTTAACGTGTAAACATCTTACTTCTAGTCTCTGTACATCATACTTTTAACGTGTGTACATCTTACTTCTAACTTGTGTACATCTTACTTCTAACCTTGTGTACATCTTACTTCTAGTCTCTGTACATCATACTTTTAACGTGTGTACATCTTACTTCTAACTTGTGTACATCTTACTTCTAACCTGTGTACATCATACTTTTAACGTGTGTACATCTTACTTCTAACTTGTGTACATCTTACTTCTAACCTGTGTACATCATACTTCTAACCTGTGTACATCTTACTTCTAACTTGTGTACATCTTACTTCTAACCTGTGTACAT